ACGAGAACAACAACAACAACTCATAATATATCTCATCTCATAAAAATATTGCATTTACAGAGAGAAAGAGAGAGGGAGAGCACGGGAAAAATAATTCTCTATTCTATGCAACTGCTGCTGATTTAACCACACCAGAACAGAAACACAACCTGATTTCACCAACACACAGGGAAATAATTATACAGCACACATGGCCTGTATTAATTACCATTTTATTTGTTCACGAGGACACAAGCAGGACTGTGTGCCCAACGAATAAACAGGAAAAGGATTTTGTTTTTTTGCTTTGATGAAATCTGGGCCTGTGCATCATCAGTGGAAAATTATAAAGGGAATCTTTATGAGAACACACCTCTTGGGACAAAAAGAACAGGTTAAACAGAAACAGATTTGGATCTGTTTTCTCAGAGCATTCACTGCTAAGCAATCGGGTCCTCAGTCCAAAGGCAGCCAAATTACTTTCACAAACAGGCACCAAAAACACCAGACTACATGCCACCATACATCAACCAAACGGCTCCCCTAACACAGCTGGTCCACAGAATTATACTGCGGACACTTTATAACAGTAGATGCACAACGACAAACCAAATCTTTCAGTGGAGCAACAAAAAGCACAGTGCATTTGGTCATATCAGCGAACTTGTGGAGAGAAGAATTACCACTCTAGCGCTAGAGGGCGCTCCAAAATGAAGTGAGCCCAAAATGAATACGTTAAGATGGAACATAGTTTATAAATGCTTAAACATTATATATAAAAACAAAAAGTAAAAAAATTATAAAATAATATATTCATTTGCTGAACACATTTTTAAGAGCTTTTGAATGAGTTATAGGAGTTTAAAATGGTGCCTCATTTACGTTCATGACATCAGTGTGCGTGAACAGCCAATGAGCTAGCACCCTGCTGACCAAAACCCGTTTGCTATAGAAAAAAGGAAGCATACATCTAAGTTTTCTTTGCTTTATATTGAAATACAATCTTCTACTTTCCAAAATTAAAGGAAAACTTTCAGCATGTTATTAGAAACTATTTTAAATTTTCTTTTTCAGCCATTTAGCTCCATTCACCCCATTCATTGAGAACTCACTCGTGATTTGCAATCATGTTTTTGATATAACGGGGAAATAGGAAGAGACCAAGCTCCTCATAAACCGGCTCTGCTCATATAATTTCTCACTTTAGCCAGAAAAAGTTTGGTGAGAGGTTTTTGTGAGGGAGCAAAAAAGGCAAGCTCTATTTTTGATGTGTGCCCTTTCAATATTGTCAGTGACAAAAAAAAATATTTTTTTATATATATATATTAATTATTATATATATTTTATATATGTAATAAAATATATTCACAATTTTTTTTAGTTCTACTTTTCTTCAAGATCACTCTTAAACATCACTAAGAGCTATTTAAATTATTGATCTGTTCATTATCTTGAAGACAACTTCAAAATGTTTAATGTATAATGTTCTAATGTTCATTTAATGTAAGTTGTGAATAAGAGTTGCATTCTTGTTTATTTGCACACAACAAACATGAAATATATGGTAAATGAATATCAGCTCTAAATATTAGTTACTGGTATCCTTGATTATTAATAATTGTTATAAGCCCTGAAATAACCATAGCGGCCGACTCTTAGCTTGGACCCTAATAACTGCTAAGTGCAATGTAATTCGAAGACGGCCACTAAGCTCTCATAGCAGTTACATTAAAGTCCACGGAAATCAATGAAATAAATCAGACATAAACAAAGTGGCAGCTGACAATGACAATTTTTACATATCATACGTTTATTATTACACTCCCTTCCTAAACTTCAAAACTCAAATCTATCCAATTCATGTGACAGGTGTATTCATCATTCAAAAGGAGGAAATTTGCAGAAAGGTGACAAGTTTGCAAAAGTATGGAGAAAATTCAGGCTTTAAGATGCCAGCTACTACTGGTTTTAGCTATGGAACACATACTTTTGCCCATTTTTGTAGACACAGTATATCACACTGTATTAAAAAACATAAGCAAGTCTATTTGAGAATCATAAAGAACTCGACACAGTGTGTGTGATTTAGGCATTCGGTTTGCATGATGGTAACTGGTGGCCATTAGCTTTCATTACTTCATAGCTACCCTAGCTCTGGTGCAAAACTAAATCAAAACACAAACCCTGTAAATTTGGGGTGAGGAGGTGACTGGCCGAACCATCACTTTTTACGTGGCAGGTAAAACTGTCCTGCTCCTACACGATTCCAATCTTACCTCTTTACGTGGTTTTCTCTCTTTCTTCTCCTTCGGTGCTTTCTTGGGCTTCTTTTCCACCTTTTTCTTCTTTCCTTCATCCTCACTGTCACCTTCTTCAGCTTCACTGTCACTTGCTGAGGCATTACTGTCATACCTGCACATAGAAATGCATAGAAAGACAGATGATAATTTCTCTAAGCAAAGATAATGGCAGGAAAAATAAACAAACATGGAACTCACTCCTCGGCAACATCGTCCTCCTCCTCTCCAGGATTAAATGACTCGTCTGTGTAAAGAAACAAAGTTAGGGGACAAAGGACCTAAAGAAAAACTGAAAATTGGCACTGTATCTCCATTCATTTTGCCCAATCCATTGAGAATTCTGAACTGAAAACTGAGCCAGGGGTGACTGGCCAACAATACTGCGACTCACCGCTATCGCCTTCCGATTCGTCTCCCTCCTCTCTGATCTTGCCCTCCTCCTTCATCCTCTCGAGATAAGCATCATGCTCATCTTCGTCGGAATCACTGTAACCATCTGTTCCCTTCATGTCCTGGGAAAACACACACACACACACAATTAAAATTTGTGATGGATCCTGTTTATAAGAGACCAAAAAAATAAATAAAAATATTAAAAAAAACATTAATTTACATCTAGGACAGCATGTAGGCCTAAAGATCCCAATGAGTTTCCACTTTTCAGTTTTTATTGTCCCTAAAGAAGTTCATATATTCACAGTGCATCTGCATGTGCTACAGGAAGTGTGTGGGACTGATGCTGCTGGGGCCTCTTGTCTTGATTTGTGCAAACAGTGAAGTTTTGTTTACTCTAAGTCATGCAACAGCAATTACCTCTCTTAATCCTCTGTTCTTGATGCTCAGCTTCTTGGCATTAACAAAGTCAAAAAGCTTGCCATATTCTTCCCTAAAAGAGAAACACAATGGAAGAAAATACATTATTTCCTTAATTTGATTTTACCTTTAATGACTTGCGCTACAGGCTTTCAAGGCTTTTAAAAAAAAGCTTCTTTTATATATTAAGTTGATGCACTTGAGGCTTCATGGAAATTGTGGTTTCAGATGTATAAATCTATCATGTAACAGTAATTTAGCCGTACAACAACCGCACAATCTTTCGTCAATTAGTATCATGATTCCAGCCTTTCATTGCAATGTGTGCACTTATGTCTTTTATATATACATAACATTTAAACAGCTGCAGTTTTGTGTCTGTTTTCAGAAATCAAGGAATTCGTTCATGTAATCATATAAAAGTAAATCATTTGTCAAATAACTCCAAACTTTGAACATGTTAAAAATATCATCATGACTTATTCAGCCAAGTGTTTTGAAGAGGGTTCATATCCTATATTTCTCTTGCATTTTAGTTTTTCCTCTTATAACCTTGGTCCACTTGTAACGTGTGGTTTCATATACACCAAAAATGTCATAATTAATTGTTTATGAACATTTTCCAACCTCTTTTTATCCCTTCAATGAACCAGACTGCTTTTGTAACCCTTAAGATCGATATATGTACATGAGCTCTGTTCTGACAACAAAAAGCATAGAGAACTGAAACTTAGAACCTCAATATAAATGGGCAGGGCTAAACTGCTGTAGGCTGAATAGGTGGATTTATACAAACGATTTGGTTGTCATGACATCACAAAGACAAAAAATGCAAAACTGCATGGGACATTTTGGAAACTAACAATTTTTACATTTTACTTCAAACTCCTTTATTTCAAAAACCTGATGGAAATTATTTTTCCATGATATGGGCCTTTTAAATATACTCAAATTTACAAGATATGGCAATACTGTTTTGTCCATATCCATATTGTGCAACATGACCTGGTTATTATTAAGTATTTGAGAACATAACACGAGTCAATTACTCATTGTACAGCAAGTGATTGTGGGTAGTGTAGTTCACCTCTCGATGCTACTGAAGGTGTACTGGTTGCCCTGCTTGGTCTCAATCTCGAAGTCGAAGGAGCGGGTGGTGGTGGTGCCTCGAGCAAAGTTCACACAGGAGATCTCCTCGAAACGCAGGTGCACGGGGGGCTTGTGCACATAGATGAAGCCCCTCTCCAGAGGATACAGCAGTCCTGAGCTAGCCTTATATGAGCATGTGATACACTGAGCTCCTGAATGACTGCAGAGAGAGCAAGAAAGAATTTATTGTAACATACTTGTTAGTCTTTCATACTTGGGTTTACTGTTATGGCTTTAAAGGCTTGAGTTTATTGTTATGGCTTTTATCTTTTTATTTAACGCTTAACTCTAAAGGCTGTATGGCCAGTTTTCAAACCCTCATTCTCATAAATACATACATCAGTGTATGTAAATAAACACACAGTTTTACAAGGATGTAACAATGCACAAATTTCAGAATCCATTATGAATTGTGGGTTTGCACCATTTTCAACATTATAAAAGGCAACATTAAATTTTGTTTTGACTTAAATACATAAACTTAAACAAACACAAAGTGTAAAAGTGTAACAAGCAGTTTTTACTCAGTTTCCATAAACGAACTCCATGAACTGGGGAATATGTTTTGAACTTTGAGTCATGTTTGAACATTGCATTAAACTCTTATTTCATATAAGCAAGAAAAATAGGGTTTTGAGTTATACAGGCCTTTTATGTTTAATTAGGAGTGTTGGTGATGGACTTTAAATATGTGTGAAGGCTTAAGCGGCTAATTAGATAACTAAGTCTTTATGCATAAAAATAGACAGACACAACATTCAGAGTTCTGAGGAAACCCAACACCATTTCTTTGCCCAGTTACCACATAAACCCAATATTACACACTGCAGCGCTTCAACATGCGAGTGCATTAGCAGTGGTTTTGAGGGATATGAGGTGAGTAGCTGCCTTCTCGGAAGACAATCTTTTATTGGCCTCATTTGCAATCTTCGGATGTGCATTTCTCTGTGTGCATGTGTGTTCTTACCCCTGGAAGTTTCCAGGCACTGTGATCTTTCTGTTGACCAGAGACTTCATGACCCTGCTGACCATCTCATAGAGAGAGCCAGACATGTTCTTATTTAGCTTTCCCTCAAAGCGCCGCTCCACCTCCTCCCTACAGACAGAGGGAGAGAGAGGGAGGGGGGGACAGAGGGCGAGAGAGTAAGCAAGAGAGCGAGAGAGACAGCCAGAGAGAGAGAGAGAGAGAGAGAGAGAGAGAGAGAGAGAGAGAGAGAGAGAGAGAGAGAGAGAGAGAGAGAGAGGTTAAAGAGAAACAAATGTTGTATGCTGTAAGAGAAGATGTGCTGACAAATTCATTTCAACAAATGTGACCAGGGGCCTTCCCCCACCCACAGAGAGTGAGAGAGCAAGCACTACTTACTCGCTCATGTTGAGGGTGAGGCTGATATCTTCATCTTTGGAGAAGAGCAGAATGAGGAAATGATAGCGGGTCTGACCCTGCTTAATGGGAGGATCCAAACTGATCTAAAAGAGGGAAAAAAATAGTGTGAAAAAGTGACACAATCAAAAAAGTGTGCACACATCAATACTGAAAACAAAGTGCAAATAAAGTGGAGTGGCCCCCCCAACAACCATAAAAGAAGCACAAGAGCAAAACATGCTCTCAAAATAACATACGAATGTAATAAGAACGAATCAACTTGCAACGAAAATTCTCGAGGGTTGTGCGAAGCCGAAAGCGCCTTCGCGAGCTTACAAGCTCACATACTTTCTGCGGTTTCGTGTTGCCTGTCGAAGATGGCAATGTTTGAGTTCAGAATACCGCCACCATTTAAGGTGGAACGGGAAAACTCTAACAAGAGGCTGGCGAATAGAAAGCCAACTTCAGCCTCGTCCTCTTGTGAACCTAAATATAAGATAACCTGTATGTTTTGGTGCTTAGTGCTAGTTAGTACCACTGAGTAATAGACTTACATTTAATAAACATTTTATGTTTAGGAGATATTAATTGTTTATTTAACAAATGCACGTTTCACAGTGAAATATTAGTGTGTCCGCTAAAGACGCAGCTTCGCAAAGTCATCCATTTTTGTTTAATGGCACGCCTCTTTTTTACTGACCAATCACGAGGCTTCGTCGCATAGTATCTTTGCCCAGCTACCATGTGCGCGAAACGGCAAAGGAAGCCAATGTCTGCGTTTGTTCGTTTTCTCCGCAATTACGTATTGTTTGCTAAATCCAGGCGAATGTCGGCTCTGCAAGAAGTATGCTGAGGCCTTAATAGAATGCTTTGTGCATTGCTTCACATCTTCATCTGACTGTGTGATCATCCACATTTGTCAATAGAAGAGACTATATGAAAAGCTCCTCCAAACATCATTATAACCATCACCACCCTGGCCCTTATGATAACAGTATTATTTTCTACCCTATGCTGGAGAAAGAGCTGCTGTAAAGTATTAGGCATGTAAATAAACTCATTAACTGTTAGCCAACAAATGACCACGGCAATGCTTTTAATTTGTATGCATGTGCGCGTTATAGGCAATTTATTCCACAAACTCTACTAAAATGAAGCAGCAGCAAAAAATCTTTCAGGAGCCATTTTAAATGTCACAACTATAATAATGTATGACATTGAAAGGAAATATCTGCAAGCGAAATAAAAAAAGAAGTTTTGTCGATGTTCTCTGAAAGAAAGTGTGATGCACGGCAGCGTGAGAATCGCATCCGTTTGCAGAATGGCCCTGTTCACACCTGGCATTAATACTAATTAATAGGCATCCTGGGTGATCTGATCATAAGCAGACGGTGCTAAGTACTGGTGCGAATGGGGTACAACGCCTCTTGGAGACATACTGTGATCTGATCCCTCAACCTGCCTTCGGAGGTGGTCAGGGATGCATACGACCGCATATCATTTACAGTGTGAATGCTAAAGTGTCTGTGTGTCTTCAACAGTGGCTTTAATCAGCTGCATCAGCACGGCAGACGCAGCAGCTGCTATAGCTTAGTTTCCGTCTCCTCTTGTTTACATGTCGCGTTAGCAGTTCAAGTGGTCTAAACATTTGTAACAGCCCTACTATTTACACGAACATGCACTCGCGGTACATTTCTTCCTGAGAACAAACGCAGCGAGAGACTGACAGTAAATGTGGGCGGGACCCTTCCTTCACTGACAAAATCCTATCAGTGGAGAGGCATTGCAGACACATGGAAATGCCAGGTGTGAATGGTTACATGTCTTGCTGTCTACTTATGAACAGATCACTTGAGACGGACGTTAATACCAAGTGTGAACAGGGCCAGTGATGGATAAGGACGAGGTGGATGGAGAGAGGGTGGTGGATGGCGACGACTTTCAACAGTTACTGAGGTACACTGAGCCAAAGCTAATCATGGTTTTCTATGATTGTTTTAAGTTGGGCTAGTAATGACTTAGGCATACTCAGTTCTCATGTATAGTATATTTACTACAGTTTTCAGGACATTTACTTCATATTCATGCTAATGCCAGCCTTCACCTATCTGTACTACATTCCACAGTCCATACAAGGAACACTTCGGATACAGAATTTAGTTGATGTGCACACCCTTGAGTCTGCATATATCAAGTACTTTTACAATGGCTCCCCTAATCAGATCAGAACTGGCACTGTCTGTTTTAAAATTTTAAAAATTTGAGGAGTTATATTCTTGATTTAATGATTCCGTATTATTTGATTAATTCGTTAATGATTAAATGGTGACTAATGACAGGTGGATATAGGTCAAAAGAATTGGCCAAAATCAGCTTTCCTATAAAACACAGTGAAGAACTCATTCCAGATCTATCATCACTCCAAGTACTGACCCACAGGCATCACTTTTTTCTATTTCTTAAATCACAGTTCCCCATCACTTTTAAACTGTTTTCCATAGAGCCTGTAGTAAATTTATAAAGCATTGGCTGCATGTCAGTCTGCTGACTAAATGACTGCGGCATTCACAGCAGGCATCATGGTCATCCTGTCTTGTTCCACCACTGGTTCATTTTCTTTTGTTGACATTTTTGTTTGGGCAGATGAGAGGCATGCTGTTAAAAACTTCCTTCCATCTTCTCTTCCTGTTCCTGCGAATTCTTCAGGTAAACATTTCAGCGTAATCCCACATGCAATCATTTTTCTAAGGCATTTGCAGTAAAATTAGTTTACTACCATTTTAATCCTGATTACTTTTGACTACTGCATACTAAGAAGCAACTAAAAGAGAAATGCATCAGTTTCCTTTGCAGTGGGTGTGCTAGGTCACTTGAAGTTCTGCTGCACTGAGCTCATATTTAAGACACCGACTTATTCTACTAAGGGCCAGCAGGTGGCAGCAGCACCACAAACAAATACAGTCTGGTTCACACTGCAGACAATTTTACTACACAGAAAGACCCACTTTAAATATAAAACTATTAGTATAAATCTTTAAGAAAACACTTTAATATACTTAATTTAACTCACCACAAAGAACATCTGCCTCTGGTCCTTGTGTGGCAGCAGAAAGAGGCGCAGGACAGTGGTGTAGGGGATCTTGTAGTCAAACGTCTTACCATGCAGATGCAGAAAGGTGGGGTAGATACGAATATCATACCTGAGAAAAGACAGTCGTTCATTAACATGAACATTTACCGGTCATAAATTTCCTAGGCTGTGTCCACACGCATGCCCATGTGCTCAAATCTAATTTACTTCTCAAATTTTAAATTTTGTTTGGTTATGAACCGATCATGCTTATGAACTGACCAGCATGTGCGAAAGAATAATGTTCCACCTGACATGCTTATCTAACAAATAATTCTCTCATATCTTTCCTTAAACAGTGCTTCAAATGAACTTCACACCCTATACAATATATGCACTGCATTTTATGCAACAATGTTTATCTGTTTTGTCTCAGTGAAATAAATAAATAAAGATTAAGTGACCCCTTTCAACAGACACCAGAATACACTGCATTTTGCATCTTCTTTTGCTTTGAAAGATGAGCAAGACGAGTGCAGGCAGTGTAAACAAATAAGCATAACAAACTAACATCAAGGCAGCCGAACAAAAGAAACAGCTTATTTCTCTGATTGGTCAGCTTCTGCAATTAAAACAAACACATAACTTCTCCATTTTTTCTTTTTTCTGTTAACTTGTCCCAGCATGGGTGGTTTGGTGTCTGCTGTTTGTCTTTCAACTTTAAAGTAGCAGTTTGCACACATAAAACTTCAATGCCATATGAAAGGACTCTCTTGAACATGAAAAATAAGAGAGGACAGCTGTTTGTCGGGTGGATCAGCTCAGCAGTCAAATCAGGTCACTAATGTAAGATATGTCACATTAAAAATGACGTGAACTACCAAACAACAATCAGATTTGGGCCATACACCAGTTTTGGGCCACTTTCCCAGCAATGTGAATGTAGCCTAAATGTACTTTAAATTATTAAAAAAAAAAACTAAAAACGGAAGACAGACAGACAGAAAGACCTTGTTGAAAGAAGGAAGAGTTAGGTAATGAAGGGCTGGTTATCAAGTATCAGGTGTTTGCGCTGTATGGCTTTACCTTCCTCTGGGCGTAAGGCACTGCAGCTCTTTGAAGATACACACAGCATCACCAGTAGCCTGGATAACGTCTGCGCGTGAGAGGACATTCTGGGAAAACACCTGCAACAGGGCAGAGAGAGGGAATGTGTGTCTGCCGTGTGTCCATGGCCTGTCATGTTCTCACTGAGAAAGAAAGCCTGGATTAGTTTCACCTGAGGAGGTACTGTAATCTAAGTGATTACTGACGAGATCTGATTTCAATCAGTCGGTGTAGTTTTTACAGTCTGACATTAATAACTGTGGCGTAAATGGCCTTCTGTAATTGGCTGAACCCAGAACTCCCTTGCTAGTGTTGTTTATTGTTTATCTGTTTATCAGGGACAATGCACATTAATCAGCATATAGTAAAATGCTCCACTGTAAGCCAGCTGGCTAATTTTAAACTGTAGTCCCTGAGGCTTGATGTTATCAGCGCAAACACAATGAACAATTTACAAACAGACAAACCTAACAACAGAAACAAAACCTTCTAATAAACAGTCATTTGGTGCATAGTTATTTAGAATAGCACCCATCAGATAACGCTGATGTGAATATCTGGGCTATGAGATTTAAATCCAGGCTATCTGTGGGACTCTAGAGAAATGAACAGAAACTTTATCTCATACAAATCGGCAAGTCAAATCGCACAAATTAAACTAATAAAAATAATCAAGCTCAAAAACTGCCAATCACGATCGCCTCTAAGCACAAGCAAAAGAACAACTCAAACTTGCAGTGAGAACAGCGCTGGTAGTAAATTAGTCCGAAATATTAGACGTCGAAATAGTGGAAAGGTGTTGGTACGGCCCGTAAGCCTGACTATTATGCTATCCTATTCATCTGGAGAATTTATTTCATTCCTGAAGCTGAAAAAGTTTTGGATTATACACGACTAATGTAGCTAACATGTAATGTTTTAGCTCATACCCCACCAACTGGCCCTGTCTGCATGCCTAAATCACACTTGCCTCAAAGGGCGCAGAGTTGCTAAATGATCTCAGACGGAGTTGCTTGTGTTTCCTGACTCTGTGTGACAATGTTTTCTTGAATGCAAATTTCAGGCTTTAAGATGGCTGCTACTGTTTTTATCAATGTGATACAGTTTTATCATGTCTCTCACACTTGCATACCTCTACAGGGTCTGTGCCTTCGTCCCCGGGAGTGGGAGGGACGTAGAAGCGCATTTCCATGAGCGACACCTCCGCATCATCATTCTGATGAAATTCCACTGTGACTTCATTCTTTCCTGTGGCGCACTGGGACACGCTGGCCAGGGGGATCTCGAATGCAGGACTGTCGTTAATGTCGAACGACAACAACGGTCCTAATAAAACAAAAAGGTGTCAATGGCAGTAGAAGACAAAAAAAACATTTATTTATTTCATTCCTGAAGTTGAGTAAGTTTTGGATTAAATTATGTGGAAGACCAAACTCACAACTTAAATATTACTCCATTAACAGTCTAATTTAAGCTAAACTTGTTCTAGATTAACATCATTAACAATACATAACATTACAGAACAAGGTTAAACCAATTAGTTTGCAGAGGTAGATTTTCTTAACTGCTGACAGCTTTACAGACAGGACTGTACACCAAGTTAAAGTGTGCATAAAAGACCTCGGCCATAAAGTGATTCCTCCTCAGCATCTAGCATAGCAATGAACAGCTTTAGTGTTAGCTTTAGAGCTCATCTGAAAAGGTAGCTTTTGCCATTCAACCCCCTTATGAGTCACAAAAAACTCCTGCTTTAACATTCAGTGGCTATAAGATTTCCCTGATTTGATTAATGTAAATATAGTTATCAGAATGCTTTTGTTGCTCTAAACTGATCTGAATATATTTTGTATATTTTATTTTTTTTATAACAATTGACCTTAAAATAAAATCATATAAACGCAGGGTGAGCATGAAAATAGGGTTAAAGCAGTTTCTCCATTTTCATCACCACCATCCAATAAGAGCAACTGCGGCTGCATGTTCCAACTGCTCCATGATTGCAGTCCTCTTGCTATAACACTGCCATGCTATGTCTTGTTTTGAGGGGACCCAGAGCCGTCCACCTTGCTATTGCTTCTGTTAGTTTGCTACTGCCCAATTTATCCATAGGTCTCCTATGAGCACTGTCCAGTGTAGCCTGCTGACAAATTCACAGCATGGCAGTAGCTGGAAATAACTTATCAAGAGAGCCATCAACATACTTAATTGAGAGGACTGCAGTGGCAGAGTCACAGCTACAGGGCCTGAGGGGTCAAACTCGGAAAACGCATTATATAAAACTGATAAAATTGAGTGATGCAGCCGTCTAAGCGTTGGTCCCATCATCAGGAGATTGGGAGTTCGATCTCTGGTGATGCCAGAGCCATCCGTGGCCGGGAGTCCAAGAGAGCGCAATTAGCCTCGCTCTCTGGGTGGGTGTGATGGCCCTGCCTCTCCCCCATCACTCAGCGTGATGCGAGTCAGTGCAAGCATATGATAGCTGATGTAACGTTCGGCTGTCCAATGACGTTGCGCGAGCAGCAGTTCGAAAAGATGCGGCGGCGCTTCACAGGTCTCAGAGGAAGCCTGTGTTAGCCTTCGCCTTCCTAAAACTGGTAGTATCGTGTGACTGGGGGAGTCTTAACTAGTGAGTGGAATTGGATACTGGTTGGAATTGGATACTAATTGGATAGACTAAATTGGGGGGGGGGTATTTAATGTCATTAATAATTCATTGGGTTAATGCCATATTAATGGCAAACACTGACACCACTAATTCTCAAATATGTATATCTGCACTGAACATCTGGTAAACTTTATTTTTCAATAATAACATTTTTTCAGATGAACTCCTCTGTATTTTTTTTCTTTGTGCTGAAGGTCTGAGCTACAGATGTTACCAGGTAGCCTGAGCTGAAAGTCCGACGACCACAGCAACAGTAACTAAGGGAGGTGGAACTGGTCGGAAAGTTACAAATGGTCAATTTTATGTTGAGATATATCTGTTTATCGTCGCAGTCTCCAAAATGTGACTTTTTTTTGGACATTGACAATATGCAGACTCTTGTCTGATGTTAAAATGTGCAGAATAATTTTTTTCCCTTTATTTATTCATATGTGTATATTTACCTGAGAACTTAGCCGTTCCCCAGTTCCAGCCTTTCACACTCATGTCCTTTTCCGCCAGCTCAACCTTGTAGTTCGCCTTAAAAAAGGCAGAGATTTTCTCAAAGTCCTGTAGGAGAAAAGAGAGGGAGAGAGAGGGAAAGAAAGAGAGAGAAGACAAAGGGAGTGTGCAGAAAGAAGAAGTAAACAGAATTAATTCTTCACTTCCCCAGCTCACTGACTCTCTCCCTCTCTCTGGTTCATTAATAAGGCGGTGGTTGACGGCACTGCACCCCGCGGCCCTCGGGGATGGCGGAGGTGTGTGTAATCCGGCCAGCGGCTCGTACTGAGTGCGCCCAATCAGCCTGTTTATTTATCCAGCGCCGCTCAATCGCTTCCACATGTCACATTCACAGAGCCGTGTGTGTGTGTGTGTGTGAGAGAGAGAGAGAGAGAGAGAGAGAGAGAGAGAGAGAGAGAGAGAGAGAGAGACACACACACACACACATCTGTGCACTCTAGAGTTTGGCACAGTTGTTCTGGGTCCCTCACAAACACTTTAAAATGACAACAACCAGCACCTGCCTCCTCCCTCTGCACCATCTCACAGTTTCTCACACAAACACAGATTCGATGGGCTTTCATCACTACACACATTCCATCATCAAATATGCCCAATTTACACGAATCCAAAACTACAATGCTCGGATCACACACAGTTGTACAGAAAACTCAAATTACATTTTGCTGGTTTTCTAAATGAAAATAAATCAACATATCCCCAACAAAGACAAACTTAATTATGGCATTTTTATGCAATTGTTATGGTACAATTTCTAATTATTTGCTGAGATTGGAAATTGGAAAAAGGTGAAATTCAGCAAAATACAGCAATTGTGCATTAAAATGTGCGGAAGTGTGTTCTCTGTAGAAGTGTGTTAACTTATTTTCACTTAGCAAAAGATATTTGAACAGGGCTCCCAAACTTTTGGAATTGTCTGAGGTGAAAATGTCTAAGACCACATTGAGAATCTGGGACTTTTTTCCCCTGGAAAATAAATAAATTAGTACGAAATAAACAAAGTTTTAGAATTCTAGAATTTGATACAGTTTACTTGCGCACTATTTTGAACACTTTGTGCAGCGAAGAGGATTGGTAACTTATTGTGAAACCTGTCTTATTTCTAGCAACATTATGGTATTACTGCAGCTGGTACTATATTATCTTTGCAATAATGCACTGGCTTGTTTTGTATTAATCGATATACATCAATGGGATTTTTTTTCCTTAATCAACAGTAAATTAATGGGTGCAACGTGGGGGAATAGTGGGGGGTCGGGTGCTCCATTATTTTTTGCCATTGTTCCTTTTTGGCTTACTGTATTTGATCACTTTGGAGCTTTATTTTAAAAATAAAAACGTTTGATCACAAAAAAGGATTCTGTGCTATTTCTACATTACTATTCAAATTTAAGAGTTTTGACACTGACCACGTTAAGGTCTGTTCAAGTTAGATATCTTTTAGTCTTCTCTCTTCTACTGAAGCTCACGTTCAAACGACTCTTGGGTGAATTCGATCTGCTCATCAGAGACTTTTGTACAAACTTGTGAAGCCCATGCCACCTTAAGTGAATGCTGTCATTAAAGCGAAAGGGGGATATACTGTATCAAGCACTATGAACTTCTGAAATTCATGTTAAATACCACAGATTCTACAGTTCATTCAAACTGTTATGCGGAGAGTACAAATTGTAAAGAAAAACAATGTATTGAATTAGAAAAGAATGCAAAATAGAAGCATTTTTACTCGTGGTCTCTCTTCACACCCTGCTATACATACACACAGATTGCAGATTTTCCTGTAATGACTGAGCATGTTCCCAGTATGACATCGTGCTCACTCACAGACCCATTAGCAGGAGCCACTGATTAAACCCTGAGAGACGAGCATTCCTTTCCTGTAGCATCTTGAATTACACACACATATAAACATGTGGGTGCAACGTGCGCACATACGAGAGGCCAGAGACCAGAGACCAAGGCAGTAGAGATCTAACAATACACATAACTCAGAGTTCAAACCAACATTTACAATTGTGCCCCAAAACATGTTCTGATAGCAAATATGGAGAAAATAAACCATGTTAATGTTTCCATTTTCACTTTATTAGTATGGGGTAGACACTGTTTATTGCCTAGTGCCCCTGGCCACTACATTTCACACTTTGGCCATTAAAAACTGCAAATTCTGTGGCCAAAGTGGCCACTTGCCTTACAGTGGCATGCAAAAGTTTGGTCACCCTGGTCAAGATTTCTGTTACTGTGAATAGCTAAGTGATTTAAAGATGACCTGCTTTCCAAAAGGCACAAAGATGACACATTTCTTTAATATTTCAAGCAAGTTTACCTGTTTATTTCCATCTTTCACAGTTTCAAAATGACAGAAAAGGGCCAAAGGCACCCGGCAAAGTGCTTAGTTAAACCTTCTTTGGCACGTATGACAGCTTCTAAATGTTTTTTGTAGCCAGCTTTCAGTCTTTCAATTCTTGTTTTGGGGATTTTCACCCGTTCTTCCTTGTAAAACCCCTTTAGTTCTGTGAGGTTTAAGTGCTGGCTTGCATGCACTGCTCTTTTGAGGTCTATCCAGACATGACAAAACCTTTAGCTTGCGCCTCTTGAGGTAATCAACTGTGGATTTTGAGGTGTGTTTAGGATCACTATCCTGTTGTAGAAGGCATACTCTTCATTTTCAGCTTTTTTACAGATGGTGTGCTCTTTTGCAGTTGGACAGGAGTTTTGATTTTTTTTTCTAGCCATCCTACAAGTAGTTCTCTTGGTTTTCCAGACCTCAACTTGATCTCCACTGTTCCCTTTAACTGCCATTTCCGATTTGCATTATTAGCTGAGGAAACAACTACTTGAAAGCGCTTTACTATCCTCTGACTATCTCTTGCTTTGTGTGCATCAATTATTTGAATTTTCAGAGTGCTAGGCAGCTGCTTAGAGGAGTCCACAGCTGCTGACTGCTAGGACGATGTTTGAGGAGTCAAGAGTGTTTATAAAGCTATATATACTATTATATAACTACATGCCTTTTGGAGAAGAGTTCATCTTTTACTCACTTAATTATTCATAGAATCAGAAATTTGACCAGGGGTGCCCAAACTTTTGTATGTCACTGTAGATATATTTTTGCATCCTTTTTTGCCTTTTAATAAACCCTTAATCAGATAAAGCAGATATTGTCAATTTGTTAACTATAACCACTGTGACAGTTTACAGGGTGTGGTGATCGTGGTGGTCCCCCCGGGCTTGTTCACCTGCCATCGTAGAAACTGTTCCACTGTCTAAATTTTGCTAACAATACTGAATGAAATAAGATCTTAAACAAAATCAGGTGTTAGATAAACTGGCATTACGCCAACAGGCTGTTACTGCAGTGGCTAAACAGTAGCGAACCTAGACTGGATGATGTCAGAGCAGACTAGTCTGGCAGGGGGAGCTTCATCTAATGCCCATCAATGCCCTTCAGTCTATCCTATCAGACATGGCAGCAGCCTGTGGTGCAGGATTCGGAACTGGGTTTTCCCCATTACTGTAGAAGAAGGTGAAAGGTGACCCTTCAGGAACCCTCAAGGCCTTGTGCCGAACTAAGAGCGGCTTTTACTAATGGCATTCGGATGTGCATAAGGGACACCACGTTTGATGACTGAACCTGACCAATGACGATGTGTTCAGTTATGTAAGCTGTAGTGGTCATTAGCTCACCTGACACTGAACCAAGGTTTCAGTATCAGTATCTGAAAAGAGGCATTGCTCATCTCTATCTTTAAAATATTTACTTCACCAGCAGTCACAGGTAACATGTCCCATACCATTAAAAAAATCTCCACCTCAAAATACTCACTGAGTCTTTAAAGCCATCATATTTGTAGATGTGTCCGTTGCTCGTGGCCAATTTGATTCCATGCCCGAGACAGACTCTGCGCCACTGGGCGAGAGAGAGATCAGGGGCAGGAATGCTGTCCACTTTCCCTGTCTTGTTGCTTTTGTAGACCACAGACTGCTTGCTGAACCTCAAGCGTCCATCGTTCTGCAAAGATCCAAAACATGCAACTCACTTGCAACTAATAATCAATTTCAATACATATGATGTTTAACATGTAGACAGAGGTGAGCAGAAACTACTCAGAAATTATGAACTTGTCACAATATGCTTTTCTTTTCCTTCATCAATAGTTAAAGAACACTGAACAACTGAATGCTTAATCAAAAAAAGAGAGCATCATTAGCTTAGTTTAACCGGATTTAGTGCAGCATAATGTGCGAAACACTGAATCGTCATAAAGATCACTGTACTGAATTCTGGATAGCATTTTATTGTCTTTTGTCTGCACCAAAATAACAAAACTGCAAGACTATATAATTGGTATAATATATGACTATGTTGTGAAAAGAATCATGATGTAATAAAAAGGCTAATAATACATACAAACAAAAGGGAGACGCATGATGTACTAAGAAGTTCCCCAAAAACTCCCCAGTGCTGAAGCTTTTATACTTCTCCTCAAACTATGTACTGTAAATACACTTTTACTCATAATCACTGTTTCACCACACTTTTCTTGAGAATGGGTTTAGGCTACTTTAGCCACCTCTGTGTGTATGTTTGTGTAACTTACCCAGCATCCTTTGACTTCTTGGTAAATCTCATTGAACTCCAGTGTGTCTCCCATATCTGCTACCTGAGGAAAACAGAGAACATTAAGCACATGCAGGCTGTAAAGCAGTGGTGCATACTGAGCTCTGACCCTCAGTATTCTTCACTGAAATGCCAACGTCCACAGCGAGAAAGCAAAGCAGGACACTGGCTTCTCGATTCTAGCAGCAAGGAGTTCTCCTGGTTTAGTAACTATAACGCTGAGTATTAAATATACTGCAGAGATGGTACTGATCTCCTGCTGTCTGAACTGTGCTGAACCTCATCCCTGTATCTCCTCTCCTATCAACACACACTGTGAAATATATCATAACTGCTATTGTAATGACACTATCACTATGCACTTTACACTGTAATATTGATGCAACTCTTAGTTATGTCTATAATCATTGTGCTTTTAGTTTACCTCATACCACTCAGTGCCTGCTATCATGTAAATACAACAAATCTGTCTCCTATGCCATGTAAATATGTAAATAGATATACTTTTACTTTATTCTCTTGTACTTTAACTTATGTCTTTTTCTGAATAGTATCTGTAAGTTTATGTGCAATCATATGTCTTGCTACTGAAACACTGCAATTTCCCTTCGGGATCAATAAAGGTCTATCTATCTATCTATCTAAATATGTCAGAAATAATACGTATTTTACTGATATTGCAATAAATTCTGTCACAGTACTAGGAACACACAACGGTCTGTGTCACTGTACTTGTAACGTTCTACAAATAAGTGGTGTTTCTCTCTAATGCTAATCCAAGCGAAGGCAGTCTCAGCTTCTACAGTTTATAAATACTTATTTTTCAGTGTTAGCATGTGCACCAACATACACAGTGTTATATGAAAAAAATTCAGCATCAGCCTACAACTCCCAGATCACCCATATCAGTACATATATGCATGTCTCATTAGAAATAATAAGAAAGCACAATTAGACCTGTTTGATTTTTCTTAATTTCCCCCTAAGTCAATTGTTAAGATGTCAACAAAGCCTTTCAAAGTTGTTTGGTGTGAAATGCTTTGTTCACACTGGTGGTGATAGGAACCAGACGTCTGAAAGGTTTAATGACTCACAAAAAGTTATTATATGAAATGGTTATGAATATGTTGCCTGATGCCCTAAACATTGTTCTATGATCGTTTTGAGATATATTTTTGGACTACAGTGTACTTTTTAAAATCCTTTAAAGGTGGAAGGATACATGTAGGGTGTTATTAGGCAAAGTAGTCCACAAAAAAGTTTTTGTTTCTACATTTCTATCACTATTTTATGACCATCAACATCACATATGCAGACTCAGAAGACGTGTAGGTTCACTGATAGTAAATAAAATGGCTATATATGTGTTGTAGACATCAGGACCCCTGGTTCCATTCACCACCACTGTGAAGAAATCAGAGTCTAATAATAACTATTTCACACCAAACCACTCTGAATGACTCTGTTTACATCTACAATAACTGAATCATGCACACATTTCGGAAAAAATAATGGAACCCCCTTAAAGTGGGTTTAGTGCACAGTAGTATGTCAAACGTAGAATAAAATGAATTACATTCATAATTTTTAACAGTATACTGTAAATGTGGCCCTGCCAGCGTTCTCCTATTGAGTGCATATTATCGGCACAGCACCGTAACCAAATGTTTTATTGTGTTTATAACATTATTTAAACATAGACTCTACTTAATATTTCTACTTACCCCCTGATAAGGAAATTTGAGCCATTCAAAATATCCTAATTATTATTTTAATGCTGGTAAGGTTTTCTAAAAAAGAAATTTAGGCTGTCAAAACATCCCACACTTTAAAAAAGAGGGTTCTTTAGTAAAGGCACTGGTTCTATTTAGAGACATTGCACGCTTAAATGATTCTTTGCATGGTAAAATGGTTCCTCGGATTGATGGTGAATGTGTATATGGTTCTATATAGAACCTTTTTGCAAAGGGTTCTTCTAGGCTTACAAGCGTGACATTGTAACAATAGTAGAACCCTTTTTGGTGCTATATAGAACCGTATACATCATATTCTCCATCAGTCTGAAGGACCACTTCACCATACAAAGAACCATTTAAGCATGAAACGCTTCTGTACAGTCTCATGGTTCTAAATAGAACCGTTACCTTTAACGTTACTTAAGAACTCTTGAAGAACCATAATTTTTTAATTGTGTACCTGAAGTTTTGCCTCTGGCAGGTTTTTCTGACGCCGAGATTTAGGCTAAAATATCACAAGTATAGTTTTATGGAGAGCGCTGTATTACTATTATTATTGATATTATTATTATTATTATATTATTATTATTATTATTATTATTATCGTTAATATTATTTTTAATTTCGACAAGGCAGCACAATTCGTCAGAACAGCGGTTCTTTTGTCTGTTAGAGCTCATTAAACCTCAGAAAAACCGGCTGAACGCGGTGAAGCGGCGAGCCATTCCGCTGAGCTGTACTCGGTGTGTTAAGCGGAGTTTGTTTCGTCAAACGGAGATTAAACTGATTTATACAACAAGCGATGTGATTATTAAACCAGCTGCGGAGGATAATATAAACCATCATTCTGAGCAAACCTATAAACTCCGATTTCTCCGTTTTTAGGCTAATTTTATTGTAATAAAGTAACTGTTTCATCTACCTCCTCTTTTCCCGCGTGAAGCGTCCGGCACCACAAACACTTAACCGGAAAGATTTTTACGGTGTATACGCACTTCCGTTTTCACAATGTCATGGTTTTGGCTGTTTCATATTTTATTTCGCCGAAATTTACCACCCCACCCCAAATAAAACACAAATTTAAATAATTTCTTAACAATCAATTTAATTCAAAATTATTATTATTTTTAGAGATACTATGGCGAGTCTCAAATGGCTCCATGCTCCCTACGTAGTGCACTAAGTAGGGCTTATAAAATTATGGCTTCTTCACTCAAACAGGGCATAATACGTCCAACAGAGGTCCCTATGAGACTCAACCACGTTTGCAAAAATTTCTGCTGGACATATGTTGCAATATTTAGGTGAAGAAGCCAACATTTCATAACCCACGAAGTGCACTATGTAGGGAGGAGGGAGCGATTTGACATTCACCCTGGGCACTTGTTTGCGTGTGTTTGTCAGCGCGGAAAGACTGTTGAGAATGAAAGGTGACAGACTTTGACCGCTGTGTTAACAGACTTTAAAAACTGGCAAAACATAGTAATACATAATAATAATTATTATTCATAATTTTACAATTAACTACACGTGACTTAATTTCTACGCTTCCACCCCCATATACACACACACGCACACACACTCACACACCAACGATTCGAGTTTTTCTTGCTGTAGACAACATCGGCGGCCACTAGAGGGCGACAAAGTGTAGAAATTGTGATCAACAGGTGGGCAGCATTCACATACCAAGCACTTAGTGCACTTAGTGCCAGCTTTCCAGATTGAGTTTAGACTCGGTAAGATTTAAAACGGCGAAACACTATTGGCATTGCTGTTTGGTCCAAGACTAGTCTCTCTCTCTCGATCTACGCGAAATGTGATTGACAGGTAAAGACGTGGAGTGGAAAATTTGACTCATCTAAGTGTCCTTTAAGGTAATACCAGAGACGTGAGGCATCAGAGAAGAACGTACTGAGTCTCTTTAAATTATTCTAAAAGTTCCTCGAGCGCATCTTTTGTACCTCAATGAATAATGATAAATACTAGTTTACAAATACACTCTGGGCCAGTTTCCTAGACCTAGAATTAAACCTAATCTAGACCAGGAAGAATTTCCAATGGCAATTCTCCATTGACACTGAGAGTCAATCCAAGATTAATCCATGTAGCCCTATTTGTCCCAAAACTTGTAGCCACCAACGTTTCATCTAGAATCAAGGATTTGCTGCAGTAGCAGCCTCTACTTTTCTGAGAGGGCCACACTAGATGTTGAAACATTGCTGTGAGGATTTGATTGAGCATTAGTGAGGTCAGGTACTGATGTTGGATGATCAGTTCCGGATCACTCCAGCCAATCCCAAAAGTTGAATTGAGCTCCATTACTCTAGAGAATGCAGTTCCACTGCTTCACAGCCCAATGCCGGGGGGCATTATAACAACGCTTGCCATTGGGTATGATGACTTCAGGCTCATGTGTGGCTGCTCCAGATCATCCCACTCTATTGACAATGCATTTCTACAGAGATTATACAAGCTGCATACAAGCTTCTCTCATTAGCAGAGATCTCTGGCTACCTTTGGCCTTATAGCTTAAATCTCAGTCTTGTTCTGTGTATTAATCTGTTAAGGCTTAATGAGATGAAACACAGTGTAGTAGATGATGGATTAAATTTCTGATAATAATCCCTCCCGGCACTTTGTGGTTTGGAGTCTCGTGGCTGCACTCAGTCAGCTTCCAGCTCTAAAAACTTTTTAGACGGTGATTCACCGAATAGAAGTGGAGGACAGAAAGAAAAGAAAGAGAAAGGAGGAGAGTAGGAGAGAGAGAATGGAGAGAATGATTGGGGAGGAGGAGAAGAGAGGGAAAAGAAGAGGAGGAGGAGGTGGGGGAGGAGGGGCAGAGCCTTCAGCCCTGCTTATAAAACCACTTCACCCTCTCTCTCCCTCACTCACTCACTTCCACTCACACAAGTGGCGCGTGTCAGAATCTTCTTCATCTTCGTCTTCATCCTCATCCTCAACCTCATCCTCATCCTCACACACCTGGAACACCTGGCCAAAGGAAATCCGCTCAGAGGACTAAAACCCGGCCGCTGCTGCCTGAGAAGACAAACCTGATGGTGTTGTCTACACTAAACAGTGTCTGTGAGGCTGACAGAGTTTGTGCTCAAGCGGAATTCCGATCCATAAGTTTCCTGGAGAACCAAACTTCGGACTTCTGACGAGTGACTGAAGAGAATGAGACGCTGCGAAGGTAAGAACTCACCCCTTTTAGACCATCAATAAAAATAATATTTATATTTTACTACCAATATTTATTATGATTATTATCAGATGTGGCTTAAGATACTCGAAAGGGTTCTACATAGTACCGAAATGATCTACTAACAGTAGTAGAACCCTTTCTGGTCCTAAATAGAACATTTTTTTTTAAGAACAAATCTTCAAATAACAAATATACAACATAGCTAAGAACCATTTAATTATGCAAAGAACCATTTATGCATTAAAATGGTACTATGTATGTTTACGGTTCTATATATAACCATTGTCCTTATTAAAGAAGCCCTTTAGAACCATTTTTAAGTCAAAGTCTTGACCAAAACGGTTCTATGTAGGAGCAAAAAAGATTTTGAACCCTTTTGGTTCTACGTAGGAACATTTTTAAGAGTGTTCTTTAAATAACAATATGCAACACGTTCTCCATCACAGAGGAGAACCATATAACCATGCAAAGAACCGTTTAAGCGTTCAAATGGTTTTATGAATGTTCACGGGTCTATATATTATCACTGCCTTAACTAAAGAACCTTTGAAGAACCATATTAAAAAACACTGTGAACTCTTAACAAAAATGGTTCCATGTAGAACAAAAAAGTTTCTGTGGCTTGCAACAAATAGTGGAACCCTTTTTGGTGCAATATAGGACCATTTTTGAAAAGGTTATTTAGAGAGCCAACAAGTTCTCCATCACAGAGAACAGTGTAACCATGTAAAGAGCCATTTATGCATTCAAGCGGTTCTTTTAAAGTTCACGGTTCTATATGTAACTATTTCTTTTACTAAAGAACGCTTGAATCCTTTTTGAACTGTAGCTGTATTTCCTCAGTTCAATGTACTTAAGTACGGACTTAAAAGGAAAGTGCTTCTCCGAGGGTTCCGTAGTAAAAGCAATGGTCTTAGAACCGTGAACAGTGGATTTGTAAGGCTTTTTTCCATCTTAGTTCAAGTTTAGCTTCTAATTCCTTTTGGCTTTGATTGCATTCTGGTCTGTTGGTTGAGCTCCTGAGCCGCTTCGCTGTCGCTCACATCTCTCACTTTGGAGCTTTAGCATTTTATTTTGTGGCCTAAATGAACCAAAACAGAGAAGAATAGAGTCTAACAGGCTTCAGCTTCTTCACTGATAGATGCTGGATGCACTAAGAAGTTCCACTGCAGTTCTAAAGGGCACTTGAGGAGTTTTGGACCGGATACTTTACTCACGCTGTCTTTCGCTCGGCTTCTTTTACTCCTACTTCAGTCATTATTTTAATGACTACACTTTAACTTGACGGTGGTTTGGAGCTTCTCTGGCCAGCTTGGATTATTATTGTTAATAGTGCTATTATTACAATGACTCTTGTTGTAATAATAGCAATTGTAATGTAATTATTACAATGGCTATTATTGGTGCACTTTATCTTCTTCCTCTTCTTGCTATTTTCATTGTTATTGTATAGTTTATGTGTCTTTGCAACCACAAAAATAGCTAGTTTAGTCATTAATAAGGACAAAAAGTCAGTTTTAAAAAAAGATATCAACATAAAACATATCATTGGTGTTCGGAACAAAACCTTGGAAATAAATCATGCTCCGTTAACTTCAAGAGCGATTTTCCTTCGTCTGTTAAGTTACTTTTTTGGAGGCCCAAGGTTTTGCCCCGACTGCAACGGTACAATTTGTATAAAAATATGGCTGTAATTGAAATATCAGTTCATATTTTTTAGGTAAAACAGTCTGACCACTGGATATGCTGGATCACAAGGCCAAAAACAACCTCTGAAAGTGTCATTTTGTTCCATTTTTTACTTTTGAACAGTCATCTTTGTGAAGATCTTTCTAATATTTTCAGATCTAGCTATATTATAAAGTTTAAACTACTGAATAATAAGCTTTTGTATTAATAACAGAGTAATAAGGGCTTAATACAGTTTTGTTTCCATTGCCCAGTGCTGATTTCATTTCATGGAACACAAACTGCACGGCATTTAAATGCGCAGCATTTAAAAAGGCAGATGAGAATGATTTACGGATATGATTATGAGCTTTGATTCAGACGTTTTTGATGTTTTATCTTGTTTTCATCAACCCGACCACAGTTTACAACTGAATACTCAGCAGACTGAAAACTAAGCAGCATTAGGGAGCTTTATGAAGCAGGAAGCACGCATTATTGTCTTTATAAGGGTTTTAAACTGAACGCTGTGTATTACTGTAGATAAATGGTGCTCTGTTTACCGCAAACAACATCCTCTGCAACTAGAAGTCTATCTTTAGGCTCTATTAGTCTTTTTAAAGGGCTGATATTCGGCATTTTTCTTGTATTTTGTTTTTTTATTTCCCCCCCCTGAGGTCCCGCTTATAACATTTTTGTGGGTTTATGTTCTAAAAACAGTCATAACTCATTTTCACATGACCATTTTCCACGTTCTCTTTATCCCTTAGAACCAAACAGGCTGGTTTTGTTACTGCGCCTTTAAGACAACACATGTAAATGAGCTCTGTTCTGATTGGCTGCCCCATTCAAAAAGCAGTTCTGGCTCAAATACACTTATAACATCAACACAAATGTAGGGGCTAAACTGCTGTAGGCCGAATTGGTGGTTGTACATGAATGCGCTGGTTTTTGTGACATCACAAACAGGGTTAGTTCAAAACTTATGCTGCTGATCGGGAAGTTGTATATACCTGACGGTAAACTAGTGAATATGACTTCACTCTGTTTGGGTGCTTGTTGAAAGATCGGCCCACCACACGGAAAAATGAAAGTACGGAGGTCCGGAGAGTGCACATCCGGACACCACTGAAACACAGCGTTAGTTTCCATTTATGGACCACATGGATTTGGGAGCGAATGGTTCATTTTGAAAGTTTACCCATGTTTGATCATGTTTGAAGTCTTCGATCAAAGTCTTTTATTTAAAAAATGTTGTATTCCATGAATTGGGCCCAGTAATAAAACTTAAATTTGCATGATATTTGCATTTTTCTCATGAAATTGATTTGGTTTTGTGTATTTTTGTGTTGTGCCAACACTCATTTTGACCCATAAAAGAGAACTTAAAATGGAACGTACACGCACACACATGCACACACACACACACGTGTGCATTGCATGCACAGTTGCAGTGGGAATGGGCTGGAGGTCAGAGGTGGAGGGTCACCCTTGTCTTGTTAACTGACACTGATATGAGAAAGTACATGATTCATGTTAGTCACACACACACACACCCACTCCCACACACACATGCACACACACACACACACACACACACACACACTCCCACACACACACACACACGCGCACACACACACGCGCACACACACACACACACACACACACACACACACCACCTGTCCTTTGGGAAGCATGTCTGTGAAAAGGAGGATGAGAGTGTGACGAAATGATGCGATTTACACTAAAACAAAGCAGCAGACTCACCACACACACACACACACACACACACATACACACACACACACACTTCCTCTGTCTCTCTCTCAGGCCCCTCTCTCAGTTTCTCTTCTCTGCTTTTTTATTTCCCTCTATTTCAAACACACACATTTGTTTTTATACCATACCAGAACTGTGGGTCTAATGTAAGCAGGGATGCGGTATTGTGGTCGTACTGAGGGGGCTTCAGATTTCAGGACTGTTTAATTACTACTTATGTATATAGTATAAGTATATATAAGTAGTAATATATATATAATAAGTAGTTGTGTATGTGTACATAAACTTGAACTAAGTGTAGTAAAGGCATGTGTTTGTTTTTGTATTTTTATTTTATGTTTTTTATATTTCTTTATATATTATATATTTTAAATCACTTCCCTCACAAACTGGTGGGCACTTGCTACAAAACAAGCAATGTTAGCAGCTTAATATTGTTTTTAAAACTTTTTTTCAACCTGTTTATTTTCCGCTCTGTGTGCGTTTTGAGTATAGAATCTCAGCGAGACATAATCAGTTACCTCGCCACTCGTCAACAATCTGATTGGTTGCCACTCAGCTTATTTACATATAGTTAATTCAGAAGGATGAAGGAGAGCAGAGAGAGCAGAGAGAGCAGCGAGAGCGTCAGCGGTGTAATGTGTCAGTTGTATAGTGTATACGGTCATCTCTCATCATCGCTACTGGAACAAAACTGTATCTATAAAAAGGTAAAGGTAACAAGGAGAATGAAAAAACATTAATCTTTCAATGTGTGTTAATGTAACAAGACTTCATTTTAAGACATTTAAACCATCTCTATTGATCTGTCTGTCATGACATTTTCACACAATGTAAAGTACTGCTGGTATTTTCAGACTATGTTAAATAATAAGATTAAAATTTTATTTTTTTAACCGTTTTAACCCAGATCTCTTCTCATAGCAGCACAGTATTCTCTTGTGGTTGTCATCCAACACCTGGTTTGGCTAATTAGCGCTTCATTATGTTAATTAAAGCATGCTGGTAATGGAATCTAATAAATCTGTATGATGGCTGGAGGCGTCCAGGAGAACTCTGGAACTTTGTTCTCCAAACTAGCTTACAAAATGTCAACTAGTGTCTAAGACTTTTGAATGGTATGTATATATATATATATATATATATATATATGTGTGTGTGTGTGTGTGTGTGTGTGTGTGTGTGTGTGTGTACTGTTGTTGGAACAAAACCTCCATTTTTGACGTTTGACGAATTTGAAAATACCTGTTACCCTTTACATTGTATGTAAATTTCATGATGAATGGACTAAAATAAATGAATCAAAATGACTTGGAAAAAAGTCTGGTTCCATTGACTTACATTAAAAGTAAAGTAGGTTTTTTCCTTCTCCTGTAAAGTTGTCATTTTGGAGATACGAGGTTTTCTTCCAACACCAGCGATATATACATACGTACATGCATGTATATATTTAACTGGTAACTGTTGGGATTAAGCTCAGGAAAAAAAAAATTGCATATAGTTATGAATATATATGGTCTAAAAAGTTTATAACTGTAGGT